TTTGGGGTCCCCCCCCCCCCCCCCCCCCCCGTCATCATCTTACCCAATCAACACCGAGACTTCTGTGGATCTCTCTCATGTACACCCTCCTATGTAGTACCCAGATAGTTACAGATTATGGGTCCAAAAAAATCGCGTCCGCTTATTGGGAGAGGCCGTACAGTCCCGAGAGTTGAAGGCTGACTTAGCTTCAGTATGGAAAGTGTCCCCAAAATGCACCAGGGACACTTTCCACACTGAAGCCAACTTAGCAATTTTCTCCAGTAATAGGCTACGTACAGCAGTCCCGCGGCTTGGCAGATTGTGAACTGAATGTCAGAGGCCTAGGAGATGCACACAGGCATCACACAGCAGCGTACCACCTCACGCAAGCATGGTAGACCAAGGTTTCCCACGCACGTTGAGCATGGGGACAACTACGGTGCGGCAAAATAGGCATTTTAGTGCTGTGTCCCCAAAGTGTCCCCATTTGGGCCTCCAGTACCGAGGAAGGGTAAAAAGTTTGATTCCTAAGGTACCACAGATCTGTGGTTGCACCGTACCATTCCGGCGAAGACCTGGGTTTGTTTGTTGGCCGACTGGGGAAGAGAAGAAAATGGCTGCGTGTTTGCCTAAGAAAAGAGATCAAATGTTGCCAATGTTGGTGTGATCAACTAGACTATGAAGCGAGGGCTTCACAGGAAAAGAGGAAAATCGCTTGTTGACGTATTGGCGCATTTCATGACCGCGATGCTAGCAAACTGCTTGTACCTACATGCTTCGACTGCTGTCGTGTGTAGACCTCTCTCCACATCCGCCCGCCTCCACGGAAAAGTTGCACCGCAGCTTCTCTCTTCTATTATAGACTACGCAGGACCCTACTGAGTGACCAAGGCCACGTGGGAACTTTCAAGACATCGCCGAGCATGGCCGTGACGGGCTCACACTGAGCCTTTCGTGACAATCCCCCGGCAACAGCATCAGCAGCAGCAGCGAGCTTGTGGTGAACGATTCCGTGAAGCTTTCCAGAGTTCTATGCATCTTCAACACATCGAAATTTTCTTGTAAGTAAAACACTCAAGAAGGTCCCACTGCTGTCTACAGTAGTAGACTATGCATACATTCCCCGTAATCGTCGTTTGCGACGAGAGCTTGCCGTCTCTCCGCCTCACTCTCACGCAGGATACAATAGAACCGGTGCCCAGAGCGCTCAACCTTGGGAATCGGGAGGATGTTCCTAGAGAAGTACCGTATGTAGTAAGCATCCAGTAGCTGGCCAGCACGGATCGGGGTGCAAGGCTGGTTTGACACTTGGTCGTCTGGACGGTTCTGTCACACCAGGACGACATTCGTCGCCACAGCAGTAGCGAGGGCGGTGGCCATTATTCGCAGAAAGAGGGCCCAACCTCGCAGAAGAATCTGCATTGTGTCAGCTCATCCCAATGGCCGATGGCACTAGTCTTCGAATGGTATCCAACATCATACCACACCTGTGACGATCATTTTGATTGTGGATCATCGAACACAGCAGCAAGCAGCAGGCGGAGGATGACCCCATACCTTTCGAGGAGAAGAAGGCGAGTCATGGGTCACTGTCCTTGGCAGTGACTCTTCCGGCGACCCTCTATGCGCAAGGCCGTGCTTCCTGAGAGATGCCATCCCTGCAGCTGCTCTCCCTGACACCTGTCCAGCTGTGGCGTGTGTGATGATATCGGCAGTATCGGCAAGCGGGGCCAGGGGCCCCCGCAAACTGGACCCGCCGGATATGTGTTACTCTGTTACTCTCGCCCCCGAATGCATGAAGGATCTGCTCATCCTGCACAGGCAAGGCCTTCCGTACCGGGCCATTACATCATCCAATAACCACCAAAATCACCAATTGACTGCCTTGCTGGGCACTTTTTGTAAAGTAGGCAGAGGGTACTTCTGGAAGTCCAGTTTTTCTGCGGCAATGCATGCATGCACGCTTGATCCGGAGCTATGGAAGATGACAATAAAGAGCGAAGCTTCGCTCTTTGTTGTCATCATCTTCCATAGATCCGGAGAGTAGCTGATGCTGAGAAGTGATAAAGCAGCGGGCAGAGATCTGAACGTAAGACACATGCCCAGGCGTATGATTGAATATTTTGTTGTTGTAGCTCTCCACGCACACCTCAGCACATCTGAAACGGCTCGTCCTATTAGTTTACAGGGACAATTTCAATATTCATGTGACGATTTTTGACACAGCAGGGTCGTCGGCTCCAATGGTCAAACGTTTTCGGCGGTACAGTGTGAAGGAAGAGATAAAAAGACTCGAAATAAGTCCAGTACTCAGCCGGTTTCCCTCCACTCACTGAAAAGACTCCACCACATCCCGTTCGACTGTGGGTATATCTCGAATGGGTAGTCTTTCTGTGTGTGTGTTTTTATTATTCCTTAAGAGATGGAATCCCAGTCTCCTTGCCATCGACACACGACAAATCTGTCGATGCCA